AGCCCTAAATGTTGCTAAAAACACAATATTTATCCTACTATTGTTACTAATTTAATAGTACATAGTAATACGCAGGGCTAACATATGCTCCTTTGCACATCTCATATTATGTCGCTTACATTGACATCATAGTAGGTGCAAGCTAGACATTGTTAAGAAGTATCAAAATGTTTTCTCTTCACAAATAAAGAAAGGGAGCATTTTATGAGCAAACATCTTTGAAAGAACATCAACAAAACATATTTTCTCCGAGGAAATCATTCACTAAATATATTTTATGAGTTGCGTACTACATACAGAGAAAAGAAACATTGTTCTTCAGCCTTTTACTTTTCGAAATATGAGCTAGAAACGTCAAAACTTTATTGTGTGCTAATATGTTTAATGTGAAACAAACCATAATTTGTCTACTCTTGTATTTTTGTATTGAAGCATAGTACAAAAAGTACAAGGACCCGAAATAGCCCTTTGAATATTAAAATCAGAGATTTGACCTTGAAGAGAAAATAGGTCAATTAGGCAAATTGAAAAACATGTAAATTTACCTTAAATCTTGAGAAAACATCGATAAGGCATCCTAAACAAACAAAAATCTTGAGGCAGAGAGATTTAGTTTCTACACAAAGAGAAGAAACTTAGCAACACATAGATTCACCATTGAAGAGTTGAGATCTACAAAAAAAGAGTTGAGAAAATAAACCAAGCTTAGCAAAAATCTATAGAGAATTGTAAGAAAATAGTGCAAAAGTTGTACACAAAGTCAAGCAAAATGAGACAAATATTTGTTCATCAATGAAAAAGAGCAAAATTTACTATACAATCTGTACTACCTTTAGTACAATTAGAAGATATAGTGTTTGTCCTTTTTAATTCTCATTTCTAAATAAGGAGATATATATCTACCAATCAGTATTGTGAAAATCCTAGTATCTACCAACCAGTATTGTGAAAATCCTAAAACAATTGATGAAACAAAAATACAACAACAAGAAGATAATGTAGTCCCACAAATTCGAGTCCCTCTCTGATAGACAGTCGGTTCAACGAAAAACAAATCAAAGCAATCCGATAAAAGAAGTAATTTATGTGAAAGCATAACAAGGCATGTTGAACAGTATCTACAACAATATAACACTATGATCAAAGTAGAAGAAATAAGATAGTAACAAAAACCGATCAATGAAAAACTACAAAAGTAATCCTCACACCAGTAGTTTAAAAGATAGCAGATTCTCAGATCAGAAACTCCCAGTAATGGAAAATGAACAAGGAGGATTTCTACTTTATCAAAAAATCAAGCTCATTAAGCTTGAAACTACTATGATTCAGAAAGCAATAAAACTAACGATGATCTGGGTCTGGATTTGTAGGCTTACCAAAACAGGTTGTTCTACGTGATCCTCGTGGTCATGATGAAAAGAATCAATATAGCCATTCCCTCCGAGCAGTCTGCTTTATACAAAAATTAGAAGCTTTTGCCTTCAACTTCTTTCAGTATAACTTTTGCCTCTTTCCTAGGACAAACTTATTCAAATCTGCAGCTGCAGAGATGAAACTCTAATTTTTAAACAGTATCCAAACTCCAAATAATTAAAATTTAACATAGATGTAGACAACTTTTGTTGAGAAATATGCAATGATGTTGAATCTTCAGGATAGCTCAAATAAGGATCAGATTGACATCTTTAATGGAAACATGTCAAATATTAAGTTGAGGCCTGATTTCGCCATTGAGAAAGTTGTCCTGAAACTAAAAGTGTCGGCACAATAGCAATGTTTCAACAACAGCTTGCAATAGTTTCTCGTCAAATACTTATTTCGGTTGATTAGGAAAAGAAATCAGCTGTACATTTTGACTTCCTATAATCCCAAATTGAGGTATTCATTCACTTGTTGGTAAGACCATAAAAAAGATCATGTTCGACATGAAACATGTACTACACATTTTACTAAGTTTGAGCTTGAACCTTCTATAACCAAATGAATATCTTATCAAATGAAGAGTTGTAGTTCAACACTAATGATAAAAGAAATCCAGGAGCAAAAGGAAGTACAAATGTCTATGTTAATTGTCATTGAAGCATGAAGGAACAAAATGAATGTAAGCAACCATATGTCTAGAAAAGACAAATAGAGTTAACATTTTAGAGTTAAGGGCTAACCATCTCCAAACAATATTTACTCAGATTTGAGGGTTAACTCGGAAAAACACCTTTGTGTACTAATATACGACTCACAACATCCATTTGAAGACAACATACATGAATCCTACTACGAATTTGAGAAAGAAGATTCTTGAAATCACATTATACACCTATTCAACCATCAAAGTTAAGAGAGATCAAATAGATATGATGGAGTACTTCAATCCATCCTTCATTTAGTCCTCTAAGAAGTTTTCGTTTAAGAGGATAACTATTATTATCAAATTTAAGCACCCCAATAAAATTTGAGTGGAAAAAATTTAAGAAAGAAAGCACCTCACTATATAAAGAGAAGTATATTATACATTTGAAACATATTTCTAAATATAAATGATAACAAGAGATTGAAGTTGTCCATAGTAACATACTTATTGATTTATTGACTAATGAAGTAGAAAATTTTTTGTCCAAAAAACAAGGAAAAGCTTATTCAAAACTTTCACGGAACACCACATATGCATGTACAACTTCTTCATGCTTTACCTTTAACCAAAAAAAGGAAAAAATAGTTCATAACTCTATCATCTAGCCGATGTCCTTGGTCTTTTAAAATCTATGTATTGCCCTTATATGTTGACATTCTTATTTCGAGAAATATTTTATCTTGATAAAAATAATATTTACAGTTTAATGGAGTGCTGAAAAAACTGCACATTATATCTAAATTTATGCATGTACAACTTCTTCATGCTTTACCTTTAACCAAAAAAAGGTAAAAGTAGTCCATAACTCTATCATCTAGCCGATGTCCTTGGTCTTTTAAAATCTATGTATTGCCCTCATATGTTGACATTCTTACTTCGAGAAATATTTTATCTTGATAAAAATAATATTTATAGTTTAATAGAGTGCTGAAAAAACTGTACATTATATCTAAATTTTTTCGCTAACACAGAGTTTAACTAATAGCAACAACTTGCAATTGAAATAGATGCAAACAAAGGACAAACCATTTCTTGGGATAAATAAATAAAATATACATAAACAACAGACATCTAGTAGAAACAAAGCACCAACCTTTTGGATCATTCACGTAGAAATGAATACATAGTAGAAAATCTGTAAAAAAAAAAAAAATTTAGTTAGTTTAGGCATACTATCAAACACCTTAAGTGTGTCACTTAAATTGAATTAGTTGTTGCAACTACAGAATACTTGTTAGAATTAAAAAAATAATAAGCGGAGGCACATCTAGTTACATAGATTTTAACAGCACAAACGAAAAAGTAAATTTATAAAAGAGACTTTGAGATAGAATCCAGACATGAATGAATAAATTAGAAAAAAATTGTTAATAAGTACATATAAAATCTAATAAGAGACGATTTAAAAGTTGTCATAATGATTAAAATCAAAGAAAGTGCACTAAAACAACAAAAAATTAGGGAAGAGATACATCAGCAAAAATAGCACACAATTAGAAGGCCGAACAATCAAGGAAGAAGAGGTGAAATTTGAGATTCCAAATAGAAAAATTAATTTTCATAGAAAAAGTAAAATGGAGAAAGAGGAGATAAATTACCAAAACAAATGATAGAGAAACTATGAGAAGAGTGAAGAACAAAGCCAATGTTTAAAAGAGAAGGATGATAGAAATCTGTAAGATAGTCTGTTTGCAATATGAAGTGGTACGTGGTTTCTAGAGGACAATACACGTGTTAGCAGAAAAAAATGGGAAAAACTAAGTTTGTTGTACAATTCAGAAAACCTTTTGTACAATCTGCTTATGCTGTGTTCGTCCTCTAATTTGTCATTTCTAAAAAGGGGGAGATATATATATATATATATATATATATGTAAATTACAAATAAAAATATGTACTCTTTATTTAACAATTGAATTTATTTTAAAAACGTATAACTTTAAAAAGGCAAAATGGACTAGTGGACCATTATACTTATAAGTGTTTGTATTATGGACCCTTATACTTAACCATTTATCAACTGAACTCATAGATTCAATCAAAAAAAGATTTTTAAACCCATCCTATTATGTATATAGTCCACTCTCCTCTAAATAAATAACATGTCAAACATTAATGATAAATTAATTACATGTCACAATAACCTTTATTAATCACTTTTAAAAATTTAACCAAACTTATAAATAAAAGATAGTAATATAATAAAATAAAAATTAAAACGAAAAATTGGGAGTCACATGACTACTGTACATCTTCTCCTCCATTCCCATGGTGAAGTCGTCAAATTTCACATGAGAAATTTGTTTTCACCACCACCGCCACTCTTCTTGCCGGAGAACATGTTGTCTCTCCCTCACCCGTCTCCATCTCGGATAGACCCTCACCATTTTTCTTTCCTCCTTCTCCAACCTCCGAAAATCCAGCAACCCTAAGTTGCTGCAACACCGACTCCGACTGGCAAACCTGCTCGTCGCCTCCCATTTTGCAGAAAATGAACCAGTGCCATCTCTCTCTCACTCCACTCCAAATTAGCGAATTCCGACAAACATCATCGCTCTCTCCTTTCACCGGTGAATTAGTGACTGAGGGAGGTGACAATGCTGATAGATCTGCATTAAAAAGAAAAAGGGGTTGGGCAAGGATGGTGACTGAGCATGGAGAGGAAAGCATCAAAATAGTCCCTCTTCTTTGAGCTAAGGCTTCAAAGTGATCCTTGAGTTTTCACATGGAGCACTAATAGTCCCTCTTGTTTGCAATATTGGTACACTTTTGATCCTCCTCCAAATTTTTTCCTATTTTTTGCATTGATTTTATCCATAACCTATGTATGGGATGTTCAATCGTCATTTTATATATTTAGTAGAAATAACAACTCCATATCAAAGAATGTGAGAAAAAACCATTTATTTTGTCTAGTAGAAATTGTATTGCAGGTAAAGCCGAAAGGTTTATCACGATAATTTCACGTGCAATAATATAATTTTTTCTTTTCCTCATCACGATAATTTCACGTGCTATAATATAATTTTTTCTTTTATGCAAATTCATATGTTAAAATGCTCTTAGTTTAGCTGCAATAATATTTCTCGTGAACAGAAAAAAGTGTTTTTCTTATCATTTCTCTCAGATAAAGTTATTATTTCTATTAAATATATAAAAAGACGATTGGACATTCCTTATATAAAATTTTGAACAAAATTAATGTCAAAAAATAGGAAAATTTTTAGGAGAGGACCAAAAATACACCAATATTGCAAACATGAGGAACTATTAGTGCTCCGTATGAAAATTCAAGGATCACTTTGAGTCTTAACCTACAGATGAGAGACTATTTTGAGCCTTTCCTTGAGCATGGATGTAAATCATTGAGCAAGGGTTGAGAGGTTGAAAAGAAGGATTCTTATTCCCTTCATTTTATTTTTTAGTTTTGTTCTTCTATAATTTTAATAATTCTTAAATATGATATATGAAGGGTTCATAATATAAATTCGTACAAATATAAGGATCCACTAAATTATTTCGCCCTTTAAAAATAAACACAACTTACCTAATAAAATAGGGAAAAGGGCTGATATATCTCTTGTTATGAAAGTAACTCATATGTACCCCTACTTATAAACAAATGACTCACATTTACCCTTTTAATCTACTTATTTATTATTTTTTTCTAAGAAATATAATATCATATGACTAAATTTAATCATCGTCAAACATATTATTTTTGTTGCAATGACTATTTAGAATTATTATTTTGATAATCAAATTTATTTATGTTTCACTAATAATCTTGTAAAACTTATTGTAGGTAATCAAATTTTTTTCTTCGAATACAGAAATCAAATTATAATATAGACAAAAAAAATAGTCAATTTTTTTTCTCTTTAAACTAAGGAATGAAAGAAAAAAAAGAATAAGAAACTCAAATAATTATGATAAAAGAAATCAAAAAATAATTTATGTATAAAAAAAATTAAAATGTACCTTGAACTTTGATAGAAGAATCATATATACTCCTAAATATTTTTAAAAAAAATTAAAAGTAAAAAATATAAATTTAAAACTAATATTTTAACTTCCGTTAAATGGGTATATGTGAACTCGTTTTGTAATGACAGGGATATATGTGAACCGTTTGTATATCATCTCCAAATAACAAAATTGAGGAATATATCAAACACTTTTCCCAATAAAATAAGATTATTACTTATTTTGTCGACCGATTGGGGACAAATGATCTTACCCTTTAGCTGTAGGATAGACCCGGCCCAAGGTCAAGAGATGGATACTTACAGAACCGTATCTCATTAATAAAACTGATATATTCTCTAACATGAAATTTTTTTAAAAAATTGTAGTCGTATTTCCCCATATCTCCCAAAACCCTAAGCCGTCGACCGTTGCAGCGCCCCTCTCTCAGCCATCGGCACCTCCATCGTCTGAAATTCGTTCAGGTAAGATTTTTTAATTTTCGAAATTTCTAATAATAAATTTTCAAGGGCTACTCATATACAGCAAATCTCGTCGAATTATGCATTCTTCTTCAGAAAGAGGGGGATAAAATGGAATATAGGCTCCATTTGATTTATCTAGGAAAAAGAAAAAAAAACTCATTCTAAACAGATAAAAGGAAAATGTTTAAGTTGGGTAGTTTTTAGTGATAAATACAAAATCACTTGTTGAGTTGTGTTTGGTTTGCTTGTGGATTAAGATTTTCTAGATGGGTTTCTATAGATTTGGATTTGTCTTTTAGCCCTGTGTTCTGCATTCGCTGCACTAGTTTCTGTTTTTTTTCTGTGTTTCACTACTACAATAACGATTCTGTGTTGTATTCCTTCCATTCATTTTTACGTTGTTACTTTTTGATTTGACACAATCATTAAGAAATCATTCTTTGATTTTACCAAATTATCCTGTTTAGTATTAGGAAAAAATTGTTCTTTCTTGATACATCAAAGTGACAAAATCTCTTACTGTTTGTCTGTAAAGTAGATGTTATGCTTAACACATTAAATGTATCTTTATACTTGAAGGAAAACTTAAGTTATTGGGTATTCCCATTATGCAGTATCTCTGATTAATTGAAAATCTTTTGTAAAATTTTAAAATTTACATATTCAAAAAGTATACGAAAAATAGAATAAATTCCAATTATTCTTGATGATAAAAATTGGTGTCTCTCAAAAAAGGGACATGACAAGGAATTTAGGATGGAGGAGTATCATTTAACATCTTTGGCATTTGGGATAGAAAAACTTTTGAAATTAAAAGAATGAAGACTTTTGAAACTTGGGGTACTAAACATGTAAAGTGTGGTTATAAAAGTATTGAAAAATTTGTGGTCTTAAGTATGCCATTTTACTCTTAGTGAGAATTTTTTATAGCCACACGAATATCATTCTTTTTTAAATGGTTGAAAAAGGAAAAGGTTCTCATAGATTGAAACGGAGGGAGTAGTTACAATGCGAGTCTGCAAGTGTCTAGGATGCCCAAGGACAAGTAGTGTGGAGTATAAAAACCAGGATTCAACATTTGACAACTTTAATTGTGAAACAAATAGCGCAGTCATGCATTTTTTTGGTATTTGATGTTTGTACAAATAGATGTCTTATGTCCCTTTGTTGTTTCCTCCCTCCAAAGTCCAAACTAGGGCTAGAATAAACTCCAACTGTTAGTTGTGTGGGTGCCTGAGTTATCTTCTCTGTTAAATAATTTGTGATCATGTGCTTGTTTAATTAGTGTAGGAGGTAGAAATCCTGTGCCTGCCTGGTAATGCAAAGACATTTCACCATGTCTGCTGATCCTGCTTTGGTGGAGGAGGATGCTTCTTCAGGCTCAGGAGAGGACATAAACATGTTAGATGGGCACAATAAGCATCAAACTGTAACGCCAAATTCAGGTCGTCGCAAGAGAAGTCGCAAGGCAACTGGTGATGCTATAGTTGATGCAATGCTGGAAATTGCAGCTGCTTCGAAGATGAGGGCAGCTGCCATTATGAGGAATGAGGAACGCTTTGCTATAAGCAAATGCATAAAAGTATTAGATGAAATGCAAGGTGTAGATCAAAGTATCTACTTTTTTGCATTGGATTTATTCGAGAATTCAAATGCCAGAGAAACTTTTATCTCTCTGAAGAATGAGAGGCGCTTGATATGGTTGCAGTGTAAGTACAATTCGGCAAATGCAGCTAGCTAATGGAATCCTCTATTAGTTCTCGACTTTCCTATAGTGGGTTTTGCTAGGACATTTTGACTGTATACTACTATTACTTCCCAACATCTATTTACTACTGGATGTGGCTGGATGCTTAGTTCTAATTCGTAATTGTTGCAAACAAAAAAAACTACTCTATTTTACTAAAGTATTTTCAACTTCTTTGGTTGTGCGACGCTGGTTGCATACTTCAAACTTGATCTGCCCGATTATTTCAGTTAGTAATATGTGACATCGTTTACGCCTGATCATAGAGAACTCCGGAGTTGTGTAAATTATCCACAAAAATTGGTAAACTAGTACTTTGTTTATCATCTTGCTCTTGATATTAGCTTGGCATTTTCCTGAATACTTTTGTTGATGTCATTTCAATGTCTGAAAATTTGGTGTGTTTGTTGAATACATGCAGTCTAAAGGTCGTCTCTTTGGTGTCATTGAAGTAATAGCTACTTTCTGCTACTTATTCGTCTACCTGCCAGTGCAATAATTTGGTCTTACAAAAACTGTTAAACTAAATTATTGTCCTGCTCACCATAAAAGGCATCCACATTGTTGGCTGAGCTAAGATTTTTAGTAAGGGTATAAAATAGAGAGAACTAAACATGAACTAAATGATGAAGTTTGACATATATTATATATACATTAAAAAAATAAAAAATTGAACCACAGGGGGTTCGGCTGAACCCATCAATGGTCCCGCGCACAGCACGGGTGAAGAACCATCTAGTCTAATATAAGTAAACAAAACGCAACACTATATGTAATTTACAGTTGTCTCAATCAATCTAAAATTTTTCCACATAATTTCATTGATCGACGTCCTTTTTGTTGAGTCAGTGCTTGACTGAATTCTGTTTATGTTTGTAAAGTTTTGCAAATACGAACTCAGCAACTAATGATCGTTCCTATACTTCACCTCTTTTTACTCCTACTTATTTTTCTAAACGCATCGTCAGCATTCAGTCCGATTGATACGAAAATAAGTTTGAATTCATACCTTTGGTGCTAGTAACAGGGCATTGCAATATCAAATTGTGTATGGAGGCCTTAGGCCCATATGCTAGACATGTACAATTGTACCAGTGATCCGTGACAAAAAAACTTGTCTTTTTATGAGATGGCGACAAATAAGTAAATTGTGTGGTCCTCTCCTCTCCATAACAAACAACTTCATTATAAGTTGGCTCCTCAAATCTGTCCCACAAATTGAAGTCACGATTTTCAAAAGCAACTTCCTCATCTTTATATCTGTTTTTTTTTAATTCACTTTTACTTCACTAGTAGTAGTAGTAGTACAAAATTGACGTTGAAAACAAACATCTACAAGGTATATGATCTAAAGTTAAAAGAGTACAAACATACGGCTGCATGAATTGATTAATCCAAGTGAGAGAATCATAATTTTCCACAACTAAAAAATCTTCATCTAGGTAGGTGACATGTCCATCTCATTAAATTTGTACTGCAATTTCTGGTTATTTTAGTGCCATGTGCCGTCTCATTACTTCATGCTCTCACGAGTTATAACGTCTGCTGTGTAATTAGTAATTACCGCGCTCATCACCATGTTCTTCGTTCATCTCAAAACTCCTAGAGAACTGGAATTGAATTAGAATTTTAACTTCCAAACTCTTAAGCTGAATGCATTATCAATCTCATAATGCTAATGATCTTTTTGGAAACTTACCACATGTTATTTTACAGAAACTATCGATTAGAGGAGCCCTTACCTATTAAACATCTATGAGAAATTGAAATCTTAACTTCCTTGAATAAAACATACTGATTACATTAAGAATATCGTTATAACATTTGTAAATATAGTGAACCACTCTTTTCACTTTCCAATAGTAGTAATGCCGATGGTTTACAATATACCAATCGATGGATCTACAATGGCTCAATCGTCCAATATATACACTCAAAATCAAGATCAAAATACTACTATGACTTTTCTCTCACCAATGAATTTTTTCTAATGTTTAATATTAGTCCAATGGATTTAACCAACACTCTTGAGGCTTGTACTTGTTCCTCACAGTATCCTGGCAATAATTATAAACCACAAAGTTCCTCTGAACCCAAGCATAATCAATCTTCTCTTTACTTGATAGGTGCCAAGTATTATTCTGATCCCACCAGTGCTGTGTGGTGGATGAAGCACAAGCAGGGTAAGGGTTTTTCCATGGACAAGCGTCTATGGTAAAATCCTTATAAGATGCTACAAATGGTGCATTTTCCCAGTTTATCTTGTCCAAGCCTCCTCTAGTAGCCCAATTATCTGCATTCCATATGCTTGAAAACACGTACATCGGCCTCTGGGCTGGAAAGAAATTGTTTGTGTGATTCGCGTTCTTGTATACCCTTATTGGTACTTTATCCACAAAAAATCTGCATTTACAAGAATGTATGTGATACTTGATCGAGTCATCGTTAATTTGAAATTATTTGTTTTCAACATATCCATTTCGGTATGTTCAAATCCATTTCACGAGTATCCTGATGTTAGTCGCAATTTTAAATGACCTTTTTTTTTTCTTTGAAAGATTGTTACTATAGTATTGTGGTACCTTTATGTATATAATTAGAGAAACAAAAAGTAACCATAGATGGGAGTAGTAAGATGGTTCGAATTTTTATATCATTAACCAAATTTCTTAGATTTAGATCCTAGAAATGGCGGTAAAAAATGTAATCATAAGAAAAAACTGAAGAGTAATCGTATCTACTACATAAATGTAATTTTCAATCCAAAAAAGGTTACATTTTACGATGGATCTACTGGTCGTGAATTCTGATAAATTTACTTTAATCCTTATGCGCATATGGATGAAGTACATTGAATGTAGCAAACATTTTACCTTCTTAATGGATCTACCCAACGCTGATTGAATTTCGAATATCGACTAGAAAAAGGAAAACAAAAATTAACTTAGAGAGTGAAAAAGAAGACTTACACAATTTGATGAGAGTTCCAAAGAATGGAATAAGTATGAAAGTCGAGAGTAGGATCAAACCAAAGTTGATGCCTCATTTCACGTCCACCACTCCCATTGTTATACACATTTGTCTGAATAAGATAAGGCTGCCCTGTTCTGTTTCCCAAAAACTCAAAATCTATCTCATCTCTCAATGGCCCTGCCTCTACTTCTGAGCACATCTGTAACCCCCCAAAAAAAAACATTAAAAAAAAATTCCCACAAAAATGTTCAAAATGTTTGAAGTGAACTTACATAAAATGCTGTCACAACACCAGCAGAGTCACCTCCTACTAATTTCAACTTTGTGCTATACCAACCAAATCTATAGCTCTGTTTTGTTATGAACCCACAATCTAACATACCACACACAAAAAAAATTGAAATATATTCAAAATTCAAAAGAACAAAATAAAATGCGTTTCAAATTTATAGGATTTTAATCACCTGATACTTGGTCTAAGGTAAGATACCAGATCTGTCCATCTTTAGAAGTCTTGAAATGTGTACCAGGACAACTTTTACTGAAATTTTCTTCAAATGCACCTCCAACTACACCATTTGATGATGAAAAAAGGGTAAAAATTACTGATAAAATCAAAAGAACACGAGCCATTGAAGAAGCATTGCTCTCCATGGTGGTTTTTTTTTTCCCTTTTGAATGAAGATAGGCTGGATCCCTTAAAAATGACAACGTTTTATTAATTATACGCGGTTTGTTACCTAAGGGCAAAATCGGAAATAATAATTTTTTTACCTCGAGAGACGAAATATAAGGCCAAGGACAAAAAAGAACGAACAAGAAACTGCTTTCATTTGAGAATATTTTCCTATTTGGACTAGAAAGATATTTCAAAAATTGAGAACCACCATTTGGTATTCTAAAAATGGAATGCTTTTCAAAAATATCAATCCAATGGTTTTTTCAGAAACCAAAACAATTTAATTGTAGGTAAAACTACGATATAAATGGATGTTAGTTGTTGAAAAATTACATTATATATAGATTAAAAATCTTATTAATATTAATATAAAGTTATTTTTTACACTAACAGCGCTACGACAAAGTCATATGCTCAAAACTAACCTAGCGTTCAAATTCGAATCATTTTTGAAATTTTTTACTACATGAATGGTATAGTAAATAATGCATTCTCCTAAAATGCAATATAAGAAAATAATCTCCTTAAGTCTAAATTTATACCAAAATCCAAACATCACATAATTTATGTTTTCTCTCCTAGGGGAAAAAACTACTCTATTGAAAATAATTTTAAAAAAATCCTCCTTCCACTTGTTAAATCTTTGTCTTTAATGTTAATTTTAAGATAAAAAATATTTTCTTCTATCAATTGAACTTTTTTTAAAAAATAAATGAAAAGAAAGATGCAGGGTTAGTAGGAGAGAAAATTATAAGATGAGAAAAAAGTGAAAATTCAAATAACTAGCAAATTAATTAAACTAGAAGATTGTATCTATCTATCTTACTCCAATTTCCCTAAATCAAAAAAATAATATAAAAAAACAATTGAAATCTTACAGACAGATGGAGAACAAATTCAGATTATTTTAATAAGTTCATAGAATATTTTTGACAATTAAGTTTTTTAAAATATAAATCTTTAGAGATGACGAGTACTCTACTCAATATATTTGAATTTTAATAAAAGTAAGTAATTTAGGCAATATAGCACACACATCGAGAAAGAGCATGCAAAATTACAAAATACCCACGAAGAGAGTGTGAGGGTATCCATGCTGCCAATGAAGTGATTTTGGTGGCAGAAAATAAAAGTGGGGTCTAAAGTGCTGTTAATATTGCAACATGGCTCCTTTTGAATGGACTTATTATATTTGATTAATTAATTTAACTAGAGCCATCAATATGGCTAGGCCCATTGGATCGGTCTGGCTTAACCCGGGATTTAATAGGGTTGGACTATAATTTTTGGAGCTCATTTAAGAAAAAGACTTTTTAGCCCGACCTGAATAAGCCTGTTAATTTGATGGGCTTGAGAAATATAGGTAGGAACGGATCGTGGGTCAATAATTAATTAAAAAATATAATATAATATTAAATTTCAAAATTAAAGAGAGTCCAAATTCAAAATAATTAGGTTAATATTTTTATTTATATATTTATACTTTTACTTGAAAACAAACTTAATAAATACATATAATTTCAGAGACCTCCCTCCAAGTTTCATTCTATAACAC